CAATGGATCTATTGTAGTCTCTTAATAGTTCTAGGAAGGCTTGGACTTCATGTTAGTTATAGGTACTTTCCACATTTGTATATCTCTATTTTATTAGGTTTAGGCCTTATCTCCTTATCTCTATTTCTTGGGTTTTCACTTCAAACCATAACTATGCACGTTTTCCAACGCCTTCTCCAAATGACTAAAATGTTCTTTGAGCGAGGGAGAATAAATAATTAGTTGTCTAGTTAAATTTACAGATATTTACACTAAACTCAGGAGCTTAATCTTAAAAATTAATTCAAGGACCGTAACTGTTAACAAAAATGTATCTTATTTGTGTATCACTCATCTGTAGATCCTCAAATCATCTCTGAATTGGTGCCGACACTGTCCTTCCTTCTGGAGGGTGACTACTTTTGTTCCCCATGGTCCCTGTGTGTGTTGTAAAGTAGTCACCGCTCCAAGCTCCCTTCTGTGATGGACTACAATCTCACGTTTAGGCATCTAATTTGTATAGGTGCATCGTAATTCACATTTTAAACTCCCATGATGGACTACAATCATAAGTAAACGAAACACGAGATTGTAGTCCATCACGGAAACAAACTTGGAGCGGTGACTACTTTACAACTCACACATGGACCATGGGGAACAAAAGTAGCCACCCTCCAGAAGGAAGAAAGGTGCCAGCACCAATTCAGAGATTATTTGAGGATCTACAGCTGAGTGATAGACATGTGCAATTCCTTTCATTCCGAATCACAATTCGTACAAATTTTCCAAAATTCGGACACATCCGAATTTCCGAATCCCAATGCATCCGAATGTATCAAAATCTGAATTTCCGTTTCCGAAATTTCGGATCCCGTCTTATTTTCGGGGAAACACGGTACATAATACTAAAGCTGAATCTCCTAGACCCGAATGGTATTCGGGAGTCCGGATTTCCGAATAGCATTCGGGAGCTCCAAATCAGAAAGCAACACATGTCTGGGAGTCATATACATTTACATACATAATAGTAAAGCTGATGCTCCAAGACAGCAGACTACCTCTGTCATTATTCATTTTTTTCTTGCTTTCTCCCTCTGGTTCTAGAAGGACTGATGCCCATTTTAAATTTACATTGAGTCCCTACAAATAAGGAAACTACTCAGGGGCGTCCCGAGGCTGGGTGACACCCGGAGTGGTAACCGGATTGTCACCCCGCAGCGACGTCACCGCGCGTGTGCGCGATGACGTCATCGCGCAGTTTTCTGATACCTGCCGGTGGCCATCTTGGTGATGGACGCCGGCAGAGAGAGGAGAGGACAGTCAACCGGCGGGATAAGGTATGCCGCCGGGTCCCCTCCTCTCTCCTGATACTGTCGGGCGTTCGGTCCATGACCGAGCGCCCGACTTTTCAGAGGGGGGTGACACCAAAATGACTGTGAGTCATTTGGTGTCACCCCTCCAATGGTGTCACCCCCACACCCCATTTGTGACGCCACTGAAACTACTATCTCCTGCCTGGTTGGAATCGCTACATCATTTTTTCCTTTTAATTTACAGTAGAATCAAACAAATATGCATTGCTCAACAAAGTATTCCTTTACATTTTGCCCAAGTACTTACAGTCAGCATGTTTCCTACACAGCTCCAACTCTCTCAGCTCGGCTTCCCTGAACTTCCTGTCCAGTAGAAGATCACAAGGAACAGAGCAGTCTCCAGCAGCTCTCCATCTACTAGCTTGGAAAAGAGGGAGGAGCAGGGGAGTGACTTTCCTGGCTGTGCCTATGTGTTTGTGGAGACACACCCAGCTTACTAGCACACACAAAGGTGGCTCCATAGGATCCAGCAAGGAAAAGGAGTCACCCTAAAACAGGATATCAGGACCAGTGCTCAAGGGATCAGCTGATTCTGCAGGGAGCTAAAACCTTTAAGCATCAAGGAGCAGCATCCATTGTAAGTGATTTCATCAGCATTTGAAATAGCGTAAACATCTCCTGACTTTAATATCACTTTGAACATAATTTTATTCCGAATTTGTTAGCAATTATTATCTCTCTTTTAATCCTCTTAACAATTTGGAGTTAAGGTTTTACTGCGGGAGTTTCCAATCAATTCTCCGAAGTAGTTAACGCAAAAAGTTTGGAGTTTAAAGTAGAACTGAAGCCGAATTGCCAGCTTTGTATTCTTTGCATTGCTTATTTCTCTTTTCTTCCCCAGTCTTCTGACAGTGGCCATGTTTACTAAAGGCAGATTATTAGCACTCCTTTCACTTCCTGAATTTCTTGCACATGTGACTAGACATGTGACTAGAACATGTGATCATGCACATCACCTCAGGGAAGGAAAATGCCTTTCCCTGAGCTCTCGTGAGATTACAGATGAGATTTCCCAGCAATGCTCTGCTGATGACAAGGCAATCCCAGTGTGCATTGCTTTGCCAAGCGGAAGTCATTTTGCCCTTTCAATGCAGGAAGTGAATGCTCTGCGAGTGTAATTATTTCACAATCACAGCATTTTACACCTGACATGTCTGTTATTATTAATCATCATATATAGAGGGATGCATTGGTAGAATTGGATTTTGGAGTGTAAAGTTCAGTTTTAAGTGGCGGAGGTCTTGTGGAAGAGGTTGGTAAATAAAGCTATAGATCAGAGTTTAGAAGTATTATTGGGGGTAGGTCCAGACACAATCCTCACCTTAGGTTAGAGTAGGGTTGTCACCTGTCCAGGACTTACACGGACAGTCCGGGTTTTGAATGCTGTGTCCGGGTTTCATGGCAGCAGAAATCCCGGCAACAGGATGTCAGGCAGACAGGGGCAACCAAGCCGCAACTCATGCTCCCTAAAAAATGTCCGGGTGTCGCTGGAAGAAAAGGTGGCAGCCTTAGGTCAGAGTCCTTTTGAAATGTCCATATACCAGAGAAGTAACAAAATACAACCATTATCAAAGTATCATTATTTTCACTGATACAAGAGGATGGCACTGACCAGCTGCCAAAAATATGCAGCACAGAAACAAAAAGGGAACTCCGGACACGATACATGTTTGTAAAACTGAACTCTAGCCACAAAAATGTCATTTAAATAAATTCCTTAATAGCAAAATGGGTATAAATCCACTTTGTGTGCACCAAATGCTTTTGCAATCCCACTTATCACCTTGTAAAATCAGCCTATTAGACTTGTCAGAGAGCAGAGCTGTGGGAGGGGCCAAGCAAACCCCACCCTCTACAGGTTTCCTGCAGAAAAATACATGAGGGGGCGGAGACAAGACCAGTCACCCTGCACAAAGAGAGAGAGGGCAGCAGTGGTCGGTCTTTATTACAGGAGGGTGGGGGGAGGAGACAAGACCAGTCACTTTTCACAAGGAGAGAGAGAGCAGCAGTGACCGGTCTATATTACATGAGGGGGGAGGAGACAAGACCAGTCCCCCTGCACAAAGAGAGAGAGGGCAGCAGTGGCCGGTCTTTATTACAGGAGGGGGGGGCGGAGACAAGACCAGTCCCCCTGCACAAAGAGAGAGAGGGCAGCAGTGGCCGGTCTTTATTACAGGAGGGGGGGGCGGAGACAAGACCAGTCCCCCTTCACAAGGAGAGAGAGAGCAGCAGTGACCGGTCTATATTACATGAGGGGGGAGGAGACAAGACCAGTCACCCTGCACAAGGAGTGAGAGAGCAGAAGTAACCGGTCTTTATTACAGGAGGGGGGGGCGGAGCCCAGACCAGTCACCCTTCACAAGGAGAGAGAGAGCAGCAGTGACCGGTCTATATTACATGAGGGGGGAGGAGACAAGACCAGTCACCCTGCACAAGGAGTGAGAGAGCAGAAGTAACCGGTCTTTATTACAGGAGGGGGGGGCGGAGACAAGACCAGTCACCCTTCACAAGGAGAGAGAGAGCAGCAGTGACCGGTCTTTGTGGTGCGGGGGGGGGGGGGGCGGAGACAAGACCAGTCACCTCGCAAAAGGAGAGAGAGCAACAGTGACCGGTCTTACAGTACAGGAAGTGTCGCTCTGGATTACAGATCTGGAAGACATACACAAAGCTCTCCAATATTCAAGGAAGAATACACATGACTCTGGTATATAGACAATATTTGCTTATCCCAGATTTAAGTTTAATGAATGTTTAGCAATTTAGATCAGTACAAATATGTACAAAACAATAATAAATAATGAAAAGCACACATAAATATTCTTACTACAACACTATGTCATCTATATATGAATAAGGAAAGAACTTTGGAATCCTAATATGGAGGAGGGTGCACAGCTAATAGGAGATCAAACTGTGTTATATATATGTAATATTCATGAGGAGGAGGTTATTCTATGTCATATACATCTAATATTCATGAGGAGGAGGTCATTCTACATTATATATATGTAATATTCATGAGGAGGAGGTTATTCTATGTCATATACCGTATATATAATATTCATCAGGAGGAGGCCATACTATGTAATATATATGTATGATTCATGAGAAGGAGGAGGTCACACTATGTAATATTTATAAGAAGGTCATTCTACATTATTTGTATATGCAATATTTATAAGGAGGAGGTCACTCTGTCATATATATGTAATCATGAGGAGGAGGTCATTCTACATTATATCTATGTAATATTCATGTGGAGGAGGTCATTCTATAGTATATATATGTAATATTCATGAGGAGGTGGTCATACTTTGTAATATATATGTCATATTCATGAGAAGGAGGTCGCTCTATGTCATATGTATGTAATATTTATGAGAAAGTGGTCATACTATATAATATATGTAATATTCATGAGAAGGAGGTCGCTCTATGTCATATGTATGTAATATTTATGAGAAAGTGGTCATACTATATAATATATGTAATATTCATGAGAAGGAGGTCGCTCTATGTCATATGTATGTAATATTCATGAGGAGGCGGGATCTCTGCGGTATACCGATAGCGGGGAGGGATGAGTCGCTCTCTCGGTGGGAGGAGCTGTCCTCTCGTAATGGGAGGAGCCGTCCTCTCGGTGGGGCGGGCCTTCTACACTGATAAACACGGAGCAGATTGATGCAGTGTCAGAGCCTGTACGGCGGATCGCAGAGCAGATCGGAGCGGTCGGGGCCGGATCTGGAGTGATTGACAGCGGGGAGTGATTGACACATCCAGGGAGCGGAGCTGTGTTCACCCCGAGGCTCGGAGGAAGGTACCGCCTGTTATTTCTGCATTGTGTCCTTCTGATCGCGGTGATGTGTATCTGTGAGCTCGGCTCATCTCTGCACCCCTCTAGTAGGAAGTGGGGCGGTGGGGTGTTTATTGGGGGTGCAGTGATCGCTGATCTCCCGCACCATGTGCCATTGTTGTGCTCCGGTTACACATGAGAAGGGATGGGAGGTGTCGGTGCGGTAGTCGGGTGCACTTTGGTTACATTGTAATGACATCTGCAGTCTTGTGTGCCTGGGAGCCGACGTCATGGGGGTCCCTGCAGTGCTAGAGGGATGGGG